TCAATTTCGTTGTAATCCCCGCACAGTACTAGCTTAGCATAAGGGTACCTAACTCTGAGGTGGTAATGAGGTGATTGATAAGAATGTCTCTGGTGGGTGACCGAGGCTGATGATATGCCACACAGCATACTCGATGGCGGCACTTGAGGGCCACTGACATTGGTAGACGTCTGTTAATTTTTGTCGAGTCCTAAACACCTCGAGTCCTTGTTTCCGGCACTTAAGTGGTCGCCGACACTGGCACTGGCACTTTGAAGGTGACCGACAAGGTTCCCACAGTTTATTACTCTGCTGTAAATCAAGCTTGTGTTTGTGCTTTTCCTTAGAATACGAGTACACTGTCGGATCACTGTTTGGTAACCAATCATTGCACTGATCGCTTGAATGTTTTGCTGATAAATTCGGTGTAGAGACGATGGTCGGGATACAGCAGGAGGAGGGAGCAGTACACACACACTTGGCCTGGCTGCCATTCACGAGTGCCTACAGGACTCGTCTTGTCTCACTCAGGGCTGGCTGTGTGTGTGTGTGTGTGTGTGTGTGTGTGTGTGTGTTAGTTCCTGGGTGTGTGTGTGTGTGTGTGTGTGTGTGGGTGTGTGTTTGTGGGTGGGTGCGTAGGTGTGTGGGTGGGTGTGGGTGTTACATGGCCACAGCCTTACCTAAACTTGGAGCAGCAGACTATCACACAACCCAGCTTACTTCATCCCATTGTTATTTCACCTAACCTAACCTAACCTAACCTAACCTATATAATAAGGTGCCAAGCTCATCAGTACTAGGTGTGAGGATCGAGGCTGCCCAAACACCACCACAGCGCTCCACCTGAACAAGGTCATGGCTGCTCTCACCGGATGTTACAATACTGAACTTATCCTTTGACCTTTCACCCAAAATGAACTCACTCCTCGCTGTAATACTGATCAATTTACATACCAACACTCAACGAAGTATCCCCATCCATTCTCAAGTTGGGATCCTGACAGCGATATTTTTTAGAGTCAAGACACCGACTGGCCTCCGCTGGAGGCCTCAACAATAAGACAGCCGGGACATGTCACGGCACATTTTCCGCCCACCTTCACTACTGTTTCCTTATTACCATCTCAAAGAAACTTGTCACCCCATCGTGTGGTGGTGGTGGGTGTTTTTGGTGGTGAGTGACCGTGTGGTGGTGGTGTGTGTCTTAGGTGGTGAGTGACCGTGTGGTGGTGGTGGGTGTTTTTGGTGGTGAGTGACCGTGGTGGTGGGTGTTTTTGGTGAGTGACCGTGTGGTGGTGGTGTGTGACCGTGTGGTGGTGGTGGGTGTCTTGGTGGTGAGTGACCGTGTGTGGTGGTGTGTGTCTTAGGTGGTGAGTGACCGTGGTGGTGGTGGGTGTTTTTGTGGTGGAGTGACTGTGGTGGTGGTGTGTGTCTTAGGTGAGTGACCGTGTGGTGGTGGTGGGTGTTTTGGTGGTGAGTGACCGTGTGGTGGTGTGGTGGTGGTGAGTGACCGTGTGGTGGTGGTGGTGACTGTGTGTGGTGGTGGGTGTTTTGTGGGAGTGACGTGGTGGTGGTGTGTGTCTTAGGTGGTGAGTGACCGTGTGGTGGTGGTGGGTGTTTTTGGTGGTGAGTGACTGTGGTGGTGGTGAGTGACAAACGTCACTCGCTCCATAACAGTAATAATCGTTTAACTAATATAAAAAATAAATGTCTCTACTGTAGAGCTTTAATTAAATATGGCTTGGTACCCGACACCTGTGTGTGTGTGTGTGTGTGTGTGTGTGTGTGTGTGTGTGTGTGTGTGTGTCTGCCTCAAGCTAGTGTACTGGTTCGATCCCCGGCAGGTGAAACTATGGGCAAGTTTCTTTACGCCATTTGCCTCTGTCTACCCAGCAGTAATTGGGAACCTGGATGTTAATTGATTTGCGGATCGTGTTCCGTAATGATTAGCCAGTGCAGTTGGCCAGTTGTCCGATCTTCTCGAACTATTCCTTACACTGGGTCATGCAGCTCTGTGGTGGTGGTGTGTCTTAGTGGTGAGTGGACTGTGTGGTGGTGGGTGGTGTTGTGGTGAGGACCGTGTAGGTGGTGGGTGTTTTGGTAGAGTGACCGTGTGGGTGGTGGTGGGTGTTTTGGTGGTGAGTGGACCGTGGTGGTGGTAGCTCAGTGGCAGGAGTGGACCGTGTGGTGGTGGTAGGGTGTTTTTGGTGGTGAGGACTGTGTGGGTGGTGGTGTGTGGTCTTAGGTAGAGTGACCGTGTGGTGGGTGGTGGGTATGGTGGTGAGACCGTGGTGGTGGTGTGTGTCTTAGGTGGTGAGTGACTGTGTGGTGGGTGTTTTTAGTGCAGACTGTGTGGTGGTGGTGTGTGACCGTGTGGTGGTGGTGGTGTTTTTGGTGGTGAGTGACCGTGGTGGTGGTGTGTGTCTTAGGTGGTGAGTGACCGTGTGGTGGTGGTGGTGGGTGTTTTGGTAGAGTGACTGTGTGGTGGTAGAGTGACAAACGTCACTCGCTCCATAACAGAAAATAATGTTTAACCAATATAAAAAATAAATGTCTCTACTGTGGAGTTTAATTAAATATGCTTGGTACCCGACACCCGTGTGTGTGTGTGTGTGTTCGTCTCGCAAGCTAGTGTACTTCCGGGTTCGATCCTGCGAAACTATGGGCAAAGTTTCTTTACGCCATTTGCCCTGCTCTACCCAGCAGTAATTGGGAAACCTGAGATGTTAATTGATTTGCGGATCGTGTTCCAGGGTACATTAGCCAGTGCAGTTGGCTGAAGTGTCCGATCTTCTCGAACTATTCCGACACTGGGTCACAGTGCAGCTCGTTAATCCAGGGTGGTTGTTGTGTTGGCGACAGCTTCAGCACCTCCCAAACACTGCCGCGGCAGCTCAAGTCAACTTAGGATGGTTGTTGTGTTGGCGACAGCTTCTACGCCTTAAACACTGGGTCAAGTGCAGCCTGTTAACTTAGGGTGTGGTTGTTGTGTTGGCGACAGCTTCTACACCCTAAACACTGGGTCATGCAGCTCGTTAACTTAGGTGTGCCACAGTTGGTGGCAGCTTCTACACTTAAACACTGGGTCATGCAGCTCGTTAACTTAGTGTGGGTTGTTGTGTTGGTATGGCTTTCCACACCCAAACACTGGGTCATGCAGCTCGTTAACTTAGGATGTGGTTGTTGTGTTGGCGACAGCTTCTACACCTTAAACACTGGGTCATGCAGCCTGTTAACTTAGGATGTGGTTGTTGTGTTATGACAGCTTTACGCCTTAAACACTGGGTCATGCAGCTCGTTAACTTAGGGTGTGGTTGTTGTGTTGGTGACAGCTTCTACACCTTAAACACTGGGTCATGCAGCTCGTTAACTTAGGGTGTGGTTGTTGTGTTATGACAGCTTCTTGCCAATTCCAAACACCGGGTCATGCAGCTCGTTAACTTAGGTGTGGCTGTTATGTTGGTGACAGCTACACCTAAACACTGGGTCATGCAGCTCGTTAACTTAGGGTGGTTGTTGTGTTGGCTATGTTTCTACACCCAAAACACTGGTCAGGCGGAACATGTTAACTCAGGTGTGGTTGTTGTGTTGGCGACAGCTTCTGCCACCTTAAACACTGGGTCATGCAGCCGTTAACTGAAAGTGGGGTTAGCGAAGCATGACGGCGCTTCTACCCCAGCAGACGGGTCATGCAGTCATGCCAACTTAGGGTGTGGCTGTTGTTGGTGACAGCTTCACACCCCAAATATTTGCCAGTCATGCAGCTCGTTAACTTAGGGTGTGGTTGTTGTGTTGGCGATAGCTTCTACACTCAAACACTGGGCTCATGCAGCTCGTTTAACTTAGGTGTGGTTACAAGTTGGTGACAGCTTACACCTTAAACACTGGGTCATGCAGCTCGTTAACTTAGGGTGTGTGGGTTAAGGGGTTATGACAGCTTTGCCAATTTCAAAACACTGCCTGCAGCTCGTTAACTTAGGTGTGGTTGTTGTGTTGGTGACAGCTTCTACACCTAAACACTGGGTCATGCAGTCGTTAACTTAGGGGTGTGGTTATGCTGTGTTGGTGAGCAGCCACACCTAAACACTAATGCAGTCGTTAACTCAGGGTGTGGTTATGTTGGCGACAGCTTTCTACACCTAAACACGGGGCTTGTAGCCTGTTAACTCAGGTGTGGTTGTTGTGTTGGCGCATAGCTTTGCCAATCTTTTAAACACTGGCCGCGCAGCTCGTTAACTTAGGGTGTGGTTGCTGTTGGTGACAGCTTTCTACACCTTAAACACTGGGTCATGCAGCTCGTTAACTTAGGGTGTGGTTGTTGTGTTGGTGACAGCTTCTACACCTTTAAACACTGGGTCATGCAGCCTGTTAACTTAGGTGTGGTTGCCAAAGTATATGCTTCTACACCTAAAACACTGGGTCATGCAGTCACACCAGGTGTGGTTGTTAAAGGCGATGGTTTCACTTAAACACTGGGTCATGCAGCCTGTTAACTTAGGGTGTGGTTGTTGTGTTGGTGACAGCTTCTACACCTTAAACACTAAATGCGCAGCCTGTTAACTCAGGGTGTGTTGATGTGGTTGGCGATATTTGACTCCTAAACACTGGGTCATGCAGCTCGTTAACTTAGGGTGTGGTTGTACAGCTTCTACACCTTAAACACTGGGTCATGCAGCTCGTTAACTTAGGGTGTGGTTGTTGTGTTGGTGACAGCTTCTACACCTTAAACACTGGGTCATGCAGCTCGTTAACTCAGGGTATGGTTGTTGTGTTGGTGACAGCTTCTACACCTTAAACACTGGGTCATGCAGCTCGTTAACTTAGGGTGTGGTTGTTGTGTTGGTTAGAAATTCACTCCTAGATGGGTCTTGTAGATTGTCACTATGGTTTAAACTCACCACAAATTCCAATACTTTTCAAAGTAGTGTATTTTGGTCCTCAGATTAACGCTGATTAAAATATTAAAAATTAGCCAAAATCAAAACGGTAGAACAGTGATATCCAATATGGCCGTCAATGTTCTAGCTGTTGAGGTCACTGTTGTAGCTGTTGAGGTCACTGTTGTAGCTGTTGAGGTCACTGTTGTAGCTGTTGAGGTCACTGTTGTAGCTGTTGAGGTCACTGTTGTAGCTGTTGAGGTCACTGTTGTAGCTGTTGAGGTCACTCGTTGTAGCTGTTGAGGTCACTGTTGTAGCTGTTGAGGTCACTGTTGTAGCTGTTGAGGTCACTGTTGTAGCTGTTGAGGTCACTGTTGTAGCTGTTGAGTCACTGTTGTAGCTGTTGAGGTCACTGTAGCTGTTGAGGTCACTGTTGTAGCTTGAGGTCACTGTTCTAGCTGTTGAGGTCACTCTAGCTGTTGAGGTCGTTGTAGCTGTTGAGGTCACTGTTGTAGCTGTTGAGGTCACTGTTGTAGCTGTTGAGGTCACTGTTGTAGCTGTTGAGGTCACTGTTGTAGCTGTTGAGGTCACTGTTCTAGCTGTTGAGGTCACTGTTCTAGCTGTTGAGGTCACTGTTGTAGCCATGAGGTCACTGTTGTAGCTACTGAGGTCACTGTTGTAGCTAGAGGTCACTGTTGTAGCTGTTGAGGTCACTGTTGTAGCTGCTGAGGTCACTGTTGTAGCTGTTGAGGTCACACTGTATCACTGTTAGCTGTTGAGGTCACTGTTGTAGCGAGGTCACTGTGTAGCTGGAGGTCACTGTTGTAGCTGCTGAGGTCACTGTTGTAGCTGTTGAGGTCAAAGAGGTCACTGTTGTAGCTGTTGAGGTCACTGTTGTGCAGTTGGAGGTCACTGTTGTAGCTGTTGAGGTCACTGTTGTAGCTGTTGAGGTCACTGTTGTAGCTGTTGAGGTCACTGTTCTAGCTGTTGAGGTCACTGTTCTAGCTGTTGAGGTCACTGTTGTAGCTGTTGAGGTCACTGTTGTAGCTGTTGAGGTCACTGTTGTAGCTGTTGAGGTCACTGTTGTAGCTGTTGAGGTCACTGTTGTAGCGAGGCACTGTTAGCTGAGGTCACTGTTCTAGCTGTTGAGGTCACTGTTGTAGCGGAGGTCACTGTTGTAGCTACTGAGGTCACTGTTGTAGCTATTGAGGTCACTGTTGTAGCTGTTGAGGTCACTGTTGAGCTGCTGAGGTCACTGTTGTAGCTGTTGAGGTCACTGTTCTAGCTGTTGAGGTCACTGTTGTAGCTGTTGAGGTCACTGTTGTAGCTACTGAGGTCACTGTTAGCTGTTGAGGTCACTGTTGTAGCTGCTGAGGTCACTGTTGTAGCTGCTGAGGTCACTGTTGTAGCTGCTGAGGTCACTGTTGTAGCTGTTGAGGTCACTGTTCTAGCTGTTGAGGTCACTGTTGTAGCTGTTGAGGTCACTGTTGTAGCTGTTGAGGTCACTGCTGTAGCTGCTGAGGTCACTGCTGTAGCTGCTGAGGTCAATGTTGTAGCTGCTGAGGTCACTGTTGTAGCTGCTGCTGAGGTCACTGTTGTAGCTCTGAGGTCACTGTTGTAGCTGCTGAGGTCACTGTTGTAGCTGCTGAGGTCACTGTTGTAGCTGTTGAGGTCACTGTTGTAGCTGTGGAGGTCACTGTTGTAGCTGCTGAGGTCACTGTTGTAGCTGTTGAGGTCACTGTTGTAGCTGCTGAGGTCACTGTTGTAGCTGTTCAGGTCACTGTTGTAGCTGCTGAGGTCACTGTTGTAGCTGTTGGAGGTCACTGTTCTAGCTGTTGAGGTCACTGTTGTAGCTGCTGAGGCAACTGTTAGCTGCTGAGGGCACTGTTGTAGCTGCTGAGTTCACTGTTGTAGCTGGTGAGGTCACTGTTGTAGCTGTTGAGGTCACTGTTGTAGCTGCTGAGGTCACTGTTGTAGCTTGAGGTCACTGTTCTAGCTGTTGAGGTCACTGTTGTAGCTGTTGAGGTCACTGTTGTAGCTGTTGAGGTCACTGTTGTAGCTGTTGAGGTCACTGTTGTAGCTGCTGAGGTCACTGTTGTAGCTGCTGAGGTCACTGTTGTAGCTGTTGAGGTCACTGTTCTAGCTGTGAGGTCACTGTTGTAGCTGTTGAGGTCACTGTTGTAGCTGTTGAGGTCACTGTTGTAGCTGTTGAGGTCACTGTTGTAGCTGCTGAGGTCACTGCTGTAGCTGCTGAGGTCACTGTTGTAGCTGCTGAGGTCACTGTTGTAGCCGATGAGGTCACTGTTGTAGCTGCTGAGGTCACTGTTGTAGCTGTTGAGGTCACTGTTGTAGCTGTTGAGGTCACTGTTGTAGCTGTTGAGGTCACTGTTGTGCTATGAGGTCACTGTTGTAGCTGATGAGGTCACTGTTGTAGCTGTTGAGGTCACTGTTGTAGCTGTTGAGGTCACTGTTGTAGCTGCTGAGGTCACTGTTGTAGCTGCTGAGGGCACTGTTGTAGCTGCTGAGGGCACTGTTGTAGCTGCTGAGGTCACTGTGGTAGCTGTTGAGGTCACTGTTGTAGCTGTTGGAGGTCACTGTTGTAGCTGCTGAGGTCACTGTTGTAGCTGCGAGGTCACTGTTGTAGCTGCTGAGGTCACTGTTGTAGCTGCTGAGGTCACTGTTGTACTGTAGAGGTCACTTTTAGCTGCGGAGGTCACTGGTAGCTGCTGAGGTCACTGTTGTAGCTGCTGAGTCACTGTTGTAGCTGCTGAGGTCACTGTTGCAGCTGCTGAGGTCACTGTTGCAGCCTGAGGTCACTGTTGCAGCTCTGAGGTCACTGTTGCAGCTGCTGAGGTCACGTTGCAGCCTGAGGTCACTGTTGTAGCTGCTGAGGTCACTGTTGTAGCTGCTGAGGTCACTGTTGTAGCTGCTGAGGTCACTGTTCTAGCTGCTGGAGGTCACTGTTCTAGCTGCTGAGGTCACTGTTCTAGCTGCTGATGTCACTGTTCTAGCTGCTGAGGTCACTGTTCTAGCTGTTGAGGTCACTGTTCTAGCTGTTGAGGTCACTGTTGTAGCTGCTGAGGTCACTGTTGTAGCTGCTGAGGTCACTGTTGTAGCTGCTGAGGTCACTGTTGTAGCTGCTGAGGTCACTGTTGTAGCTGTTGAGGTCACTGTTGTAGCTGTTGAGGTCACTGTTGTAGCTGTTCAGGTCACTGTTGTAGCTGCTGAGGTCACTGTTGTAGCTGCTGAGGTCACTGTTGTAGCTGTTGAGGTCACTGTTCTAGCTGTTGAGGTCACTGTTGTAGCTGCTGGAGTCGTAATATAAATGTTTGTCCCTAAATATTCCCATGAGTAATTTACGCACCAGTAGTTTTTAGTATATTTTATTTATCCTTAATTAGGTGGCAGAATCTCACATAATAACTACGTGCAACAAACTAGAATGCAAGTGGCACACTATTTCACACAAGCAACATTATATTACTGATATCATGTAAACTATGTAAAGAATCAGATCATTACGTAGAGTTAAAATTTTGTATTACACATACGAGACGGGATCAATATATGGAGTTACTATCACGGATCAACCAAAACCAAACAAGCGTTAAGTTACCCCAAAAACACGTATTACACGAATAATTATTAAAACTCAGTACTTGGACACACTATCACCATTGTTCCCCTCAGTGATCATATAGGTAACATTAGTGCAGTGAATACCTTTACAAGACCCACATCCTGGAGAAGACTGCAGTCCACACATCCTGCATCCACAACGACGAGTAGCAGATGTTGAAGGCCCATCCTGTGGCTTTACACGTGATTGAGGAATACTTTGAATTTGGGTTTGTTTAAATTACCTCCTGTGTTACCATGATACAACGCTAATAATGCGGTCTGCTTCTGTGGAACTGAGTATGAACAGTTAGTTGTGGGAAGAACAGACTGTGTTTAGCCCGTTTCAGGGTTGAGAAACGTGGTGTGACGCCCTAAGGAACGTGGTGTGACGCCCTATGGAACGTGGTGTGACGCCCTAAGGAACGTGGTGTGACGCCTTATGAACGTGGTGTTACGCCCTAAGGAACGTGGTGTGACGCCCTGGGAACGTGGTGTTACGCCCTAAGATAGCTTGAATCAACAGAGGCTTATCACACACAACCTTATGAAGTGACTGTTGAAGCTCTCCTGGCCCCTGGGAGACCATGGTAATGTCTCCTGGCTCCTGGGAGACCATGGTAATGTCTCCTGGCTCCTGGGAGACCATGGTAATGTCTCCTGGCTCCTGGGAGACCATGGTAATGCTCCTGGCTCCTGGGAGATCATAGTAATGTGTCCTGGCCCCTGGGAGACCATGGTAATGTCTCCTGCCCTGGGAGATCATAGTAATGTCTCCTGGCCCCTGGGAGACCATGGTAATGTCTCCTGCCCTGGGAGATGATGGAATGTCTCCCGGCCCCTGGGAGACCATAGTAATGTCTCCTGCCCATGGGAGACCATGGTAATGTCTCCTGTCCCCGGGAGATCATAGTAATGTCTCCTGGCCCCGTGAGATCATAGTAATGTTCCCTGGCCCTGGGAGACCATGGTAATATCTCCTGTCCCCGGGAGACCATGGTAATGTCTCCTGCCCCTGGGAGACCATGGTATGTCTCCTGGCCCCTGGGAGATGATGGTATGTCTCCTGGCCCCTGGGAGACGTAGGATCGTCTCCTGGCCCCTGGGAGATGATTACTGTAATGTCTCCTGGCCCCTGGGAGATGATGCACGTTCCCTGGCCCCTGGGAGATCATCATAATGTCTCCTGGCCCCGGGAGATGATGGTAATGTTCCTGGCCCCTGGGAGACCATGGTGTCTCCTGCCCCTGGGAGATGATGGTAATGTCTCCTGGCCCTGGGAGATGATGGAATGTTCCTGGCCCCTGGGAGATCATGGTATGTCTCCTGGCCCCTATGAGATCATACTAATGTCTCCTGGCCCCTGGGAGACCATGGTAATGTCTCCTGGCCCCTGGGAGATGATGGTACGTCTCCTGGCCCCTGGGAGATGATGGTAATGTCTCCTGGCCCCTGGGAGATCAGTGGATGTCTCCTGGCCCCTGGAGATCATACTAATGTCTCCTGGCCCCTGGGAGACCATGGTAATGTCTCCTGGCCCCTGGGAGATGATGGAATGTCTCCTGGCCCCTGGGAGATCATCATAATGTCTCCTGGCCCCCGGGATGATGGTAATGTCTCCTGGCCCTGGGAGACCATGGTAATGTCTCCTGCCCCTGGGAGATGATGGTAATGTCTCCGGCCCCTGGGAGATGATGGTGTCTCCTGGCCCCTGGGAGATCATGGTATGTCTCCTGGCCCCTATGAGATCATACTAATGTCTCCTGGCCCCTGGGAGACCATGGTATGTCTCCTGGCCTCTAGGAGACCATAGTAATCCCCCTGGGAGACCATGGTAATGTCTCCTGGCCCTGGGAGATCATAGTAATGTCCCTGGCCCCTGGGAGACCATGGTAATGTCTCCTGCCCTGGGAGATCATAGAAATGTCTCCTGGCCCCTGGGAGATCATAGTAATGTCTCCTGGCCCCTGGGAGACCATGGTAATGTCTCCTGGCCCCTGGGAGATCATAGTAATGTCTCCTGGCCCCTGGGAGACCTGTGGTAATGTCTCCTGGCCCTGGGAGATCATAGAAATGTCTCCTGGCCCCTGGGAGATCATAGTAATGTCTCCTGGCCCCTGGGAGACATGGTAATGTCTCCTGGCCCCTGGGAGATCATAGTAATGTCTCCTGGCCCTGGAGACATGGTAATGTCTCCTGGCCCCTGGGAGATCATAGAAATGTCTCCTGGCCCCTGGGAGACCATCATAGAAAGGTAACCAACTGTTGTTAAAGGTTACCAACTGTTGTTAAAGGTTACCAACTGTTACCAACTGTTGTTAAAGGTTACCAACTGTTGTTAAAGGTTACCAACTGTTGTTAAAGGTTACCAACTGTTACCAACTGTTGTTAAAAGTTACCAACTGTTGTTAGCTGTTACTAACTGTTGTTAAAGGTTACCAACTGTTACCAACTGTTGTTAAAGTGTTACCAACTGTTGTTAAAGGTTACCAACTGTTGTTAAGGGTTACCAACTGTTACCAACTGTTGTTAAAGGTTACCAACTGTTGTTAAAGGTTACCAACTGTTGTTAAAGGTTACCAACTGTTGTTAAAGGTTACCAACTGTTGTTAGAAGGTTACCAACTGTTGTTAAAGGTTACCAACTGTTGTTAGTTGTTACCAACTGTTGTTAAAGTTCCTAACTGTTACCAACTGTTGTTAGTTGTTACCAACTGTTGTTAAAGGTTACTAACTGTTACCAACTGTTGTTAAAGGTTACCAACTGTTGTTAGCTGTTACCAACTGTTGTTAAAGGTTACCAACTGTTGTTACAGGTTACCAACTGTTACCAACTGTTGTTAAGTGTTACCAACTGTTACCAACTCTGTGTTAAAGGATACCAACTGTTGTTAAAGGTTACCAACTGTTGTTAGAGGTTACCAACTGTTACCAACTGTTGTTAAAGGCTGTTACCAACTGTTGTTAAAGGTTACCAGCTGTTGTTAAAGTTCTAACTGTTACCAACTGTTGTTAAAGGTTACCAACTGTTGTTAATGGTTACTAACTGTTGTTAAAGGTTACCAACTGTTACCAACTGTTGTTAAAGGTTACCAACTGTTGTTAAAGGTTACTAACTGTTACCAACTGTTGTTAAAGGTTACCAACTGTTAAAGGTTACCAACTGTTACCAACTGTTGTTAAAAGTTACCAACTGTTGTTAAAGGTTACCAACTGTTGTTAAAGGTTAACTGTTACCAACTGTTGTTAAAGGTTACCAACTGTTGTTAGGTTACCAACCGTTGTTGGGTTACTAACTGTTACCAACTGTTGTTAGCTGTCACCAACTGTTGTTAAGGTTACCAACCGTTGTTGCTGTCACCAACTGTTGTTAAAGGTTACCAACCGTTGTTAAAGGTTACCAACTGTTGTTAAAGGTTACCAACTGTTGTTAGTTGTCACTAACTGTTGTTAAAGTTCAACTGTTACCAACTGTTGTTAAAGGTTACCAACTGTTGTTAAAGGTTACTAACTGTTACCAACTGTTGTTAAAGGTTACCAACTGTTGTTGTTACCAACTGTTGTTAAGGTTACCAACTGTTGTTAAGTTACCAACTGTTACCAACTGTTGTTAGAGTTACCAACTGTTACCAACTCTGTGTTAAAGGATACCAACTGTTGTTAAAGGTTACCAACTGTTGTTAAAGGTTACCAACTGTTACCAACTGTTGTTAAAGGTTACCAACTGTTGTTAAAGGTTACCAACTGTTGTTAAAGTTTAACTGTTACCAACTGTTGTTAAAGGTTACCAACTGTTGTTGTTAAGGTTACTAACTGTTGTTAAAGGTTACCAACTGTTACCAACTGTTGTTAAAGGTTACCAACTGTTGTTAAGGTTACCAACTGTTGTTAAGGTTACCAACTGTTGTGAAAGGTTACCAACTGTTGTTAAAGGTTACCAACTGTTACCAACTGTTGTTAAGGTTACCAACTGTTGTTAAAGGTTACCAACTGTTGTTAAAGGTTACCAACTGTTGTTAAGGTTAAAGTTACCAACTGTTGTTAAGGTTACCAACTGTTGTTAAAGGTTACCAACTGTTGTTAAGGTTACCAACTGTTGTTAAAGGTTACCAACTGTTACCAACTGTTGTTAAAGGTAACCAACTGTTGTTAAAGGTAACCAGCTGTTGTTAAAGGTTACCAACTGTTGTTAAAGGTTACCAACTGTTGTTAAAGGTTACCAACTGTTGTTAAAGGTTACCAACTGTTGTTAAAGGCTGCTAACTGCTGCAATTAACTAAGTGTCGTTACTCATTCATTAACTAACACACCTGGGCTATATCACCCTACCTTTCTTCAGGTAAACACCAACAAAATAATAACAGAAATGTTCACCGTCCAGCGTAACGGCCATCTCCCTCCTTCCTAACCCTCATTGGTCGAACGTTGGCAATCTGGCTTCTCATTGGTTAGTTCGACTTTGAAATGGCCCTGATTGGTTAAAGTTTTATTGCAGGTATTAAGAATAATGATGATGATGAGGAGGAGGAGTGGCCATCTGTATCCCATCCGGCCTCACCTTTTACCCTCACCCGGCCCTCACCCGGCCCTCACCTGGCCCTCACCCGGCCCTCACCCGGCCCTCACCCGGCCCTCACCGCCCTCACCCGGCCCTCACCCGGCCCTCCCCCGGCCCTCACCTGGCCCTCACCCGGCCCTCACCTGGACACCACTCCCGGGGACAGGTTAATGAACACTAAGTTGACGCTAATTAAGTTTTTGCTCCTGTCACTCAGGTAAAAACTGTACCGTACTGTATGGTACAGTTAACGGCCGTACTGTATGGTACAGTTAACGGCCGTACTGTGTGGTACAGTCAACGGCCGTACTGTACAGTTAACGGCCGTATTGTGTGGTACAGTTAACGGCCGTACTGTATGAACAGTTAACGGCCGTACGTAATGGTACAGTTAACGGCCGTACTGTGGTACAGTTAACGGCCGTACTGTGGTACAGTTAACGGCCGTACTGTGTCAGTTAACGGCCGTACTGTGTGGTACGGTTAACGGCCGTACTGTGTGGTACAGTTAACGGCCGTACTGTGTGTGGTACAGTTAACGGCCGTACTGTGTGGTACAGTTAACGGCCGTACTGTGTGGTACAGTTAACGGCCGTACTGTGTACAGTTAACGGCCGTACTGTGGTACAGTTAACGGCCGTACTGTGTGTACAGTTAACGGCCGTACTGTGTGGTACAGTTAACGGCCGTACTGTATTGTTACAGTTAACGGCCGTACTGTTTGGTACAGTTAACGGCCGTACTGTGTGGTGGTAACGGCCGTACTGTGTGGTACAGTTAACGGCCGTACTGTGTGGTACAGTTAACGGCCGTACTGTGTGGTACAGTTAACGGCCGTACTGCTCGGTACAGTTAACGGCCGTACTGTGTGGTACAGTTAACGTCCGTACTGTGTGTACAGCTAACGGCCGTACTCTGTGGTACAGTTAACGGCCGTACTGTGTAGTACAGTTAACGGCCACTGTGTGGTACAGTTAACGGCCGTACTGTGTGGTACAGTTAACGGCCGTACTGTGTAGTACAGTTAACGGCCGTCCTGTGTGGTACAGTTAACGGCCGTACTGTGTGGTACAGTTAACGGCCGTACTGTGTGTACAGTTAACGGCCGTACTGTGGTACAGTCGGACGTACTGTATGGTACAGTTAACGGCCGTACTGTGCAGTAACCAAATGGTACAGTTAACGGCCGCCTGTATGGTACAGTTAACGGCCGTACTGCAAATTTGCAACGCGCCGTACTCTATGGTACAGTTAACGGCCGTACTGTGTTTGGTTAACGGCCGTACTGTGTGGTACAGTTAACGGCCGTACTGTATGAAGCCAGTTAACGGCCGTACTGTATGGTACAGTTAACGGCCGTACTGTATCAATGATTAACGGCCGTACTGTATGGCGCGTAGCACGGATAACCGTATACCAGTTAACGCGTACTGTGTGGTACAGTTAACGGCCGACTGTATGGTACAGTTAACGGCCGTACTGCATGGTACAGTTAACGGCCGTACTGTATGGTACCGTTAACGGCGCTACTGTATGGTACAGCTAACGGCCGTGTGGTATAGTTAACGGCCGTACTGTATGGTACAGTTAACAGTCATACTGTATGGTACAGTTACCGGTCGTACTGTATGGTACAGTCAACGGCCGTACTGTATGGTACAGTTAACGGCCGTACT